CTTATTTCTCTGATGGTGTAGATGGTGTAAAGACAGTTGAGGAGTCTTATAGTGTTAATGTAATTTTTTTCGTAATAGTGTGCTTTCTCCTTCCTTTCCACCCAAAAAATCAAATACATAATCGGCCCCCTCCTAAATGAAAACCTATATACGCCACTGAATAAATAAAAATGAAAACATGTGACGGGTTAACACAGCGATTCCCAAACTGTGCACCGCGGTGCCCTAAGGGTACCATGACCATTTTCTAAGGGCACTGCGGTCTACGTACGGTTCATTACAAATAGTTTAAAATGTATAAAATTGTTTTTCCATATGGTTTTTATAAAAACTTTATAGCAAATAATGTAATATTTTCTATTGTATATTCGGATATTCTCATTTTAACCTTATACCTAATAATTTTATATAATAATTATAATCATAATAACAATCATTTTTATTTATTTATTTTTTAAGTTTAAAAATGCATTAAATTATAATTAAGTTGAATTTTAATAAAATTAATAAGATTGGTTATCATAGGTTTTTTTTTGTTCTGTAATGTAGTTCACAGCAAGGCACCGTGGGTAAATTGGATCCAAAAAAAGGCACCGCTGAAAAAAAAGTTTGAGAACCGCTGGGTTAACACATAATTTCGTTTTTAATTCCAACCGATTTCGATCCGTTCAACTGATTTTCCACAAGATTATTAATGGCTAATAGATTTTTTTTTTCGTCATTACGTTTTTTCGTTGATAACGAATATTTTTATTATTACGTTGTGCTGTGCAAACGACCAGTTAAAACACTGAACTTGAAATTCTAATAACCTATGGGGGGGGGGGGCAATGTAGTTGTGCACATTTTCGTTTTATTTCGTGCGATCCTTGAAATGCGGTTTGCGGGGACTGTGTGACGTACACGGCGAGGGTTCGTCGTTTTTTGATGCTGATCCGGTGTTTCAGACGTTGTAATTGCAGTGCTCGATTAGCGCAACAGCACCGCATGCCCGGAGAGCAATAATTTTTTTTATTTTTTTTTAGTATTTGAATACCAGTTAACTTCTCTACGTTGGTAGCGGTTTAATGTTATTTCAAATAATTTGACTGGTATTTAAATATTAAAAAAAAATAAAAAAGAATACGGTTTTATTAAGATCATTATTTTAAAAAAAAATGTTTAGCAGCTTTTAGTAAAAACTATTATAGACATCGAAATAATTTCGTCCAATTGTTTTCCTGACGCGTACAAGTAATAAATGTCTCGTTAAACGTGTGCGTTAGTGCGTTTTTTTCTCCACAACCGAGCGCAACGCCACGTGCACGCGTTCAACCGTTGCTTAATTAACACAGTAGCGTTGGTTGTTATGTACAACATTATTATGGCTCTATTGTGCGCGTTCAGTATGATTGTACAGCATGGGCCTATTTGTGTTGAGGCCATGGGGGGGGGGGGTCGAAACTAATTTTTCTTCAATACAAACTTAAAAATAATTTACAGTTCATTACCTACAGCTCATGTTCCTGTTATAATGATAACATATTATAATGATAGACTAGTAATTTATATTCTTAATTGTTTACACATTACATTTTCTAAATAAATCAATGTACTATATTCAAAATAAATATGAGCCATGGGTGGGGGCGAATTCCCCCTTCGCCCCCCACAAATATGCCCTTGCTGTACAGTTACTGCATGCGCTTACGTTACGTTACGGCGGACGGTCGAGAAATCATTTTGACGTTAAATAGTTCCGCGTTCGTATACGCGCGCATTAAGCCCAATAAATCCAAAGATCTTTGTGTTTTCCGTTTTCGTATTCGTACGGACCAATTAATTGAGGCACCAATAATTGTAACATTTTCCCGAGACGTTATTTTGTATCGTGTTTCTTTCAGTAGATCGTACATCCGATTACAATCTTATGCGCGAGATTAATTTTATACAAGTCCGTATATATAATGCGGGAAGGATTAAAACGGCTATATTATGTACATTTATTAAAGGATTGTTGTTTTAGCTAGCTTATCAATGCAACACCTGTACACAGGTTACATTTTCATGATACCAATTTTAAACAATTTGTATTTACCATATATTATACTATACATATTAATACTATACGAATAGAACCAAATATGGTATTACGTTAGTAAAGTCATGAAACCATTAAAATATGCGAATATTATAAACAATTATAATTTTTAGTTTTCCAATAAGTATGAATCGAATTACTGATATTGAAAGATAACATTCGTAGTTGTCTGGTGGGCAGTGGCGCAATTAAATCCATAACGTTGAGAATGACACTATTCAGCTTAAAAGTTGGTATGTAATCAAATAAAATATGAATAAAGAATTTCAGAAAGATTATGATACATTTTGGCTAGCTAAGGCTCCTCATCTTCCTCTAATTTCACTTCACGCCGTCGTTATTGAATAACTGATTAAGATTGACAAATGGTTTCACAGTTCATATTATTACATTATGCGTTTGTAATTGTATTCTATTTATAGAGAATATTTTGTTACATTGTGTCCCGTCTAAAAACTCTATTTATCATTATTCTATTTCTAATTATCATTACTCATTATGTGTTTGGGGAGTTCAAATCCTCTAGTTTTTTTTTTCGAGATCTACGTAATCGATATTTTTAGTCCACGGCACATCTGTTTTGAGTTAAGGAAATTTCTTTCTAAGTTTCTTTATTGGATTTCAAGATTTTAGTCTTTTAATTGATACGAAAGCAGTACCTAATGTGTTGAAAGTTCATTGTTCCGAGATCATTTAATCCTTTCACGTATTAAAGAGTTCCAATAGCGTTAAGGCTGATGGGGTTCCTATTTTTTTTTTTTAATTCCAGTAGCCATTAAACGGGTGTGGACAAAACCGTTTCCGTTATAACTCACAGCCAAATGAAATTGTTGACTTTGTGAAAGCACTATTTAAACAAATTCGAATGCAGTACTCAGTTAAACGGGATACGTGAGAATTGTTTCAGATATCTTTATTGTATGAGCATCGAAATTCTAACTAATTCCAATTGCTAAATATTTGGATAACACTATTTTGAGTTATAATTTATGTCTCCATTTTGATGAATCTTCTATATATTAATGTTTAGACTTCCAGGTGACCTCAATATACTAACGTGGAATTTTAACGGTTTTCTTTATTTTTCGTTAATCAAAGATTACCCTAATTTTTAGTTGACTGTTTATTTGTTTAGAGTAATATTGTAAGTACTATCATCAAGAGATATAGTTATTGTATTTAAAATATTAGAACACTATTAAAATGTCTTTGGCTTAAGAGCGTTGTTCACATTTTTCCTTAGGATCCAAAACTACTTTATATTTAATGATTAGTTGTTAATATTTATTATTAATGTTTTATCAACATTTATATTTTATGATGTTGATAGTAAACGTACTAATTCGTTTGATAACGAAGAGAAATGTTTATTTTTAACGGTATTAAAATAACTTTTGTGATGTAAATGCACACACTTTTTTTTCTTCAAAAAATCAGCAATACACTCGCCACCTGGAAATGCTGTTAATTAGTGCTCCAAGTGGTGGGCTTAAATACATACCCTCGCATCAAAAAAATGACGCCATTGATTTGGTTAAAGATGTGTACGAGTATTTTACTCGATTTTGTCCTTGAAATGTCACGAGTATGTCAATTAAAAAATGAATATGCGAGGGTAGATGGTTATGATATTTTTTATTGATCGCTGGCTTATACTATTGTCCTCGTAATAACTACTGTAAATGGTCTGATTATCAGAAATCCATACACTTATTATCACGCTATAGTTAAAGTGAAAGAGTAAATTTCCAGAGCGAAAATTGTGTGCCTTGTGTTTGCTTACCGTGAGTCGTGAGATTCATGAAAACATAACTATAGTAACTATAATGGTTTATATTTCACATCGCCGGGGCAAACTGTATAAAAAAGTTTACTTTTTTCTTTTGCGTTACTATAATAATTGCGAACCATTGTATACGTTAATTTTCAACGGAAACAAATAACGTTAGAAAAAGATTATGTTAACAAATGTTAAACGAATAGCAATTTCATTATAAGGTAAAAAATCGACTAGTTCGATACACAATATTATAAATGGTATGTTGTATACATTGTTGTAATGATGACGGCGATTAACGTGAGCACTTTATATTTATTTTTGTCGAGGTTGTTGCAGTAACAAGGATAATAATAAAAATGTAAATGTTTTAAAATAAAAAATTAAATGGTTATTATTTTTTCGACAGTTGGTCAATTTGTCATTAAATAACTCACGAATATGTTTTTAAAAGAGTTAAGATTAATTCACTTCCTTAGACCGTTGTGCTGTTACTATATATTATCACATAAATATATAACGGTGATATGCGTTTTTATGACGTCATGTTGTGAACTTGAACTTGTCTTGTCATAATATTTAAAAATAAACTGCCTCTATTTGAATATGCATATATAATGCAATTTATTCTAATTATAACTAACTGTTATAACATATAATATGCTATGTACTATACTCGTAATATCTGCATCAAGTATGTAATTTATTTATACTGAAATTAATAATGTTTCAAGTTTCTTAAGAAGTAGTTCAAAATTGTGCGACCTTGTTTGACACCAATTGAACAATAATGTTGAGAGAAAGGAAGACTTAATTAAATTACTTAGAATGTATGAATTTTGTTAGAAATCAACTATATCGAGAAAATTAAATGTGCCTGTGTGAAATTGTATTTCTATTGTGGTCGGTTCAATATGCATCATTATGTACATTATATCAATAAAATAGTAATTTAAAAAAATGTATTTTGTAGCAGAAATTATTTTTTATTACGTTGTGAATAGTTTGCTGGTTTAAGCGCTATTCACACTAGCACGACACGACACGACTCGGCACGACACGATACGACAGACAAAAATCATGTTAAATTCACATACGACCGACAAAAAACGACAGACACGCACTCAGTTGATTCCAATTTTCGTGTCAAACGGTCAGAAATTGTTCTCAACATGTTTCGAAATTTAAACTTTGAAGATTTGGCAGTGATGGCGTTATTGCTCGATGCCGACGAAGAGGAAATTGACCGTGCGGTAGTCAAAAAACGATCTATATGGGTTCACGACTTTTAAAAAAAAAAGAAAAGTGGAAAGAGAACATGCAACTTTGTGTAAAGAGTTGGAAGACTATATGAAGACAAATTTTTTAAATATTTTCGAATGTCAAAGTACCAATTTAATGTTCTACTTTTAAAAATTGAGAGTAATATTTCCAAACAAAATACACACTTTCGAGAAGCAATACCTCCAAAACAAAAATTAGCTGTTTGCTTGAGGTAAGGGAATTTAATATTTTTATCACAAAAATAAACAATCTAAAATACATATATATTTATAAATTTATTATAATAAATATTATAATTTATTATAAATTATATAAATTTATTAATTAACATATTATATTACATATTTTTTTAGGTTCTTAGGAACAGGTGACTCTTACCAATCGATTGCTTTCAGTTTTAGATTGGGGCACTCAATAGTGCAGTCCATTGTATTTGAAGTATGCAGTGCAATAATCTCTAAATTAAAGGAGGAGTATCTTTCAATTCCTAGTGAAGAAGATTGGAAGCGAATCGCGAAAGAATTTTGGGATATTTGGAATTTTTCCAATTGCATAGGTGCATTGGACGGAAAACATGTGGTTATCGAGGCACCTCCTAATAGTGGATCACTCTACTTTAACTACAAAAAAACCTTCTCGATAGTATTACTTGCTCTTGTGGACGCTCAATATAAATTTTTAGCGGTCGATATAGGAGCATACGGAAAAAATAGTGATGGAGGAATTCTCTCGAATTCAAATTTAGGAAAAGCTTTAGAAAGAAATAAATTAAATATTCCGAATGACCAATACTTTCTAGATGCTAATGAAAATTGCCCCTAGTTATAATAGGAGACGAGGCTTTTCCGCTCAAAAAATATTTGTTAAGACCTTACCCAGGACCGCAAATGTATGAAGACCAAAAGAAAAAAAACTTTAATGATCGTCTTTCAAGAGCTCGTAAAGTTTTTGAGGATGCTTTTGGTCAACTTACAGCTAAGTTTTGAATTTATTGTAGAAGACTGAATGCATTACCACGAAATGCTGATACCATAGTGATGACAACTTGTATTCTACACAATTTTATTAAAACAGGTGCCACCGAGGTTTATGGTAAAGAGATGTCATCAGGTTTATCTTTACCTGGACATATTACACGATTACATCGACATGGGGAAAGTGCCCAAAAAGAAGCTTTTGAAAATCGTGATAAATTCAAAAATTTTCTGTGTTCACCATCAGGAAAACTTCCTTGGGAATAGATGAAAGTAATTCAGAAAGCCTTTTTTTAAAAACGATGTATTTATTTATTCATTTTAATATATACAATTAATTTCAAATGCGTTATTGCTTAAATTTTTATTTTTATTTGCTAAAATTTTTGTACATACTATGATTAGTGCTTATCTATTTTGAGTAATATAAACAACATATTATTTATACTTTCATTCCATAATTTTTATAAATAAACCATATTTTATAGTCGAATCTAATATAAAGACTGTATCTATGTACTATGTCTATTAATTATAATATTATTATTGTATAATATAATATAATCTTTATGTATATAAATCAAGTGTTCGATAAATTTGTGTGCAATGCACTCTGAAACTTCTCAAAAAATTATTACATACTCAATTATTGATAAATAATATTTTATGAGTTATTATTAGTTTATTATTATAAAATAATAATCATATAATAATTTGATTTTATGAGTATATAAAAATATGTATATTTCAACTAAATTGATTCCGACAGGGACCGACAGACCGACAAAACATTCTTTGCTCGAATGTCTTGTCGTGCCGTGTCGTGTCGTTTGGTGTCGTTACGGAGCTTGACGGATCGGTGTGAATTACCGTATTCAATTATATGGATATAATATTTTGTCGTGTGCCGTGTCGTGTCGTACTAGTGTGAATCGCGCTTAATGGTTATTTTTTGTCTCTTTAAAAAAATAAAAAAATTCCAAACTTGAAAACTATACTTCCATACAAAATAAAATATTGGCGAGTTATTATTAGTCTCCTGTAATTGTTATGTGACTGTTTTTGTATATTAACATTTCTCTATTGTGATTATTACTGGTAGTTATGGTGCGTTATTTATTTTATCGTATTAAAATTTATATATAATATATAATATACATATAATAAGAGAAAAATACAAACTTGGTTATTATAGCAATCGAAAAATAAATTGCTAATAGTATTGAACATGATGACATTAAAGATTCATCTGCTAAAAAAAATCAAGAAAATGTATAATTTAGTATAGTACATTCTTAAAATTTTTTTTAATTTTATTTAAGTATTTTAAATTTTATAATTTGATTGTCCAAGTTTGTATTATTATTTTTACTCAACTTATAATAAATGTATGAATTTGTTGTTATATAATTTTAAGCAAAAACTTCGATTAAAATGGACTTGAGAAAATTTGAAAGAATAAAATATATTTTAAGTTCATAAATTTATTATTAATCAAGATGTAAGGATAACAATATGTATCAGTGGATTTAGGGCGGAGAGCATCGAACTGCATATTTTCATAAACATCCCAACCGATATTTTCGAACTGCCCTCGATTTAATAATTTGATAAGTTTAATAAGTTGATATCAAAGCAAATGTCTTTCAGCACGAATGGGCACATCCATTTGTATTGATCTTTTGCAACGATTGTAACCACACGTGACAAGTAAAAAAAAAAAACTAAGTAGAAAAATATTAATGATTTTGAATTATGTTATTTTTTAAATTTTGGAGAATAATAAGACTGTATCTGTAGGTATTTTTATTATTATTTTTGTAAACTTTTTGTTTTTCGCTACCTTGCTCCTTACCTATCTATATATGCAAGGCTTGGCATTAACGAGTTAAAAGTTAAAATTAAGTTATAACGTTAATATAATTTTAATTAAGTTAATTAACTCGTTACTTTTTTTACAAATTAACTTTTAGTTAATTACATTTAAAAGTATCTAAATTATGTTAATTTTAGTGCAAAGAGTAATGCAAATTATTAACCCATTGCTGGTCGCATGTTTTTTTTCTACATTTGGTCATTTGAAATAAACGTTCAGTCGCGTGGGGTAAATATTCTCCAAACAGATAAATTTTTCTTATACGGGCGTGTACAACAAACTAAACTAGTTTTCAATGAAATAAATGTCATTATCGAATAATGGGTGATTTTCATGAGCTACTCAGAATAATTCTGAATTTGTAATTATTACTAATCCATTTTGCAGATAATGAAGTGGATACACATATTTATTTTAGACTGAGAAATTATTTACCCCGCGCAACCAGTGACGGGTTAAATAAGGTTTTTAGTATATTTATAATTTACTATTTTAATATGAATTTTCTCTAGACGAAAATAATATGAAAAATAACTTTAATAGTCATTATATGGGCTATATTTTATCATTATATTTTTATAACATTGTTATTGTATAAACACTATAAACCCATAGAAATCCTAAGAATATCCTGTGAAAATAGTAAATACCATGAGAGCGAATTTCGATGGGGGGATTAATCTTAAAACAACTGTGGTATTATTTCCAATATTATTTCATTATTCAACTACCATGTGTTTTGTTCACATCACGTTCATATCTACACATATATGCTGTATATCCATATAAATGTTATTGATTATCTTATTTATGTTACCTAAATGATATGTGGTGACTTTCAACAATGATTGCTGTAGTCATGACTCAATTTTTTTATTATTTACCATGTTAGGTCAGTAGAAAATTGGTAAACTTCAAATAATTGCATAATATAATAATTCATAAGTTTGTAAAGACAACTTCTATAAATATAATTAACTATTTTAAATGTACAGTTATTTTTATATTTTATAATAGGTATTTAAATTTGTTGTACGAAAAGTTTATAGCTTATATAGAGCATGTACCAGTTGCCCCCAAAAGTACATTTTTTTATACCAATTCCCCCCAAATTACCTAGAGCAAAATGTACCAGTTGCCCTCACATGTTAATATATACACAATTACAATATATAGCCTGTAAATAGGGGAGGTAAATATACAAATTATAATTAAAATTATTTATAAAAATAATGTAAGATAGTATAAAATGATAAAATCAAATTTTGATATTTGCAATTATATATGATATTGTATTTTGTAATAAATAATAAATATAATATATTATACAAATAGTATGGATAAAATGAAAATTGTAATAATTGAATAATAACCTACTACTAGGTGCAAAGCCAGGATTTTACAAAACCGTAAATTTAGACGCGTCTAAGTGGATAGCCGATTTATAACGATATTAACGACAATTATATTACGCTTTATCGGAATAAACTAGTTATTATCATTTATTAAACCTATTTATTAGTAGTTTTTTTTTTGTTAGACATTATTATATGATACGATATATATCTATATATATGTCTTTGATAGGTACATTTTAGTAGACGAAAAGCACTGACGTTGTTAACACGATGAAAAATATTACGCGAGTGTATAGTGAAAAGGGCAATGTTTTGTTAGTTTTAAATAATTATACTTTTTAATTTTAATTATTATTTTATTAACTTTTTCATATTATATGATGTGTACTACGATTTATTATGAATTTTTTATTTCTATCGTTATAATTTTCATTTTATCCATATTATTTGTATAATATATTATATTTATTATTTAATACAAAATACAATATCATATATAATTGCAAATATCAAAATTTGATTTTATCATTTTATACTATTTTACATTATTTTTATAAATAATTTTATTTATTATTTGTATATTTACCTCCTCTATTTTACAGGCTATATATTGTAATCGTGTATATATTAACATGTGAGGGCAACTGGTACATTCAGTTGGGGGCAACTGGTACATTTGGTCGAGGGCAACTGGTATATTTTAAAAATCCCAATAACAGCTGTTGGGGGCAACTGGTCAACACCCCTTATACAAAATATGTAATTTCTTAAGATATTTATTAAATGTTTAACATTTGTTTTATTTTTATCTAAAAATATAATGTGAAGTAATTAAATTTTGACTGATAATAATTGTCCATGTTGTGCTGAGTCTAGTCTTTTGAACTACACGGTGGCTACATTATGTTTACTCAGTATAGAAAATATATTTGGGTAGTAGGTACTGTCGGTTTGATTTTTAAAATTTGTGTGAATCAATTAAAAATATTGGTATCTTGGCAGTTAGAAGAAAACTATCTATGGCGTTTTTTTTTTTTTAATTTTTGGATGTACCACTTGGGTAAATTGATTTGAGTATGAGTTCAGGACTAAGATTTATTTTAGAAAAGTAGGTTTTTATAACTAGTTAATACTTTTATGTATAATTTTAAATTTCCCCAGTAATTTTCTTGAGCGTAAAAAAACTAATATATGTGCAATATTTTATTTTTGCAAATTCGAAAATTTTAACTTAAATTAAGTAAAAAAGTAATTTAACTTTAAATGATGTTACTTTTTTTTTTCGAAGTTAACTTTTAACTTAACGAGTTAACGAAAAAAATATAAGTAACTTTTAATTTAACTTAACTTTATTATATTAAAATAACTTAACTTAACGAGTTAAAAAAATCGTTAACTTGCTTAGCCTTGTATAAATGTATATGAATATATATCTGAATTACCCGTGAAAATAAATGTTTTCTTTATGTTAGGTTGGATTACTAAAGAAAAAAAAATTATAATCGTCTTCTTCTCATTTTCACCCAAACTTAGAACTGGCACCAAGTTTCTCTCGTTGGCGTGGTTAAAAAGTTTTTAGCTTTTTAGTTCTTATTTAACTGCCCATTAAGTGAATCGACAAGTTTAATATAAAACCCAGGCGAATGTGTTTTTTTTTACCAAGTTGCGCCGTGAATTATTGAAAAATAAACAATTATAAATAAATAATTACTCAATTAACTTATAGAATTGAAACTAAACTTAGGATCTACTTCATGATATACTCTTGCATTTAAAAAGACAAAAACAAAAAACCAAAAAAAGTTGGGTGAGTAGTGTCAGAGGACACGAGTGACAAAAATTTCATTTTCATATTTATATTGATATAGATTAATATTATATATCGTACAAATTAAATTACTCGTACATCTAATTAAAAACCCATTATTTACAAAACAACTTTTTAGTTGTTAATATGTAATTGAAACTTAAAAACTACGAATTTAGTAAATGCAGTGTTAAATTCAGACCATATTTTGTGTTCTAATTACAGTAGCTGCATTGGCGGTTATACATGATGTTGAAGGGGAGGGGGCGAAAATAAAGCCAACCTTCTCCATCCAATTTCATATATATATATAACATATAATATACATATAGCATAGTATATACATACGGATTATAGGTATAAATGTATAATTATGTTTATATATTAATAATATTAACACACTTTTAATATGAATGTATTAAAAAGAAAGATATAGATGTATTGACTTATAAAATTTATCTTATAATAATTATAATAATAATATTAATAATTATATCGGTCTTGGGAGACCGAAACATAAAGTATGATTATATACAATACTATGATAATATATTATCCATGGTTAAAACAAAAAAATATTTTTCTATCAAATCATAAATTCGAAAATTAGCAGATAGGTGCTGGCCCGGCGAGATGGAGGGAGGGGCAGCCGGAGTTATAGCCCAAGGGTCCGGGCTTAAAAAAAGGCCTGAGGCCTGACCAAATCTACTACGTTTCGGTCATGGCGTCGAGTTATATATGGATTACCAATATGAATTGTTCTAATAACCTACCCAAACAGTAATAGCGTGTGCTGTATAGTTATAACGAGACTACAATAAAGTGAACACTATAATATTGATCTAAAATCTAGATAAATAACATTTTCAAGAAAGACCCATAGACTATAAATAATTATTTTCATTTAGACTGTGGAATAACTGTGATTCTGATTACATTACATTATCTTTTTGGTAGACACATTTTAAAAGACGACACTGGAAGTTAGTTGCAAGTTTAATATCTTGTATAAGAAGGGTCTGAATTAATTTGTCCCTGGGGCCCTTGATTCCTCTCCACGGCCCTGGATAGATGTTGTTGGGCTAGCGATATACTAAATTTAAAAAAACCAAATCCTAAGAGGGTGGGGAAGCGATCCATTTATCGCTCCCCCCTCTTATAACCGCCACTGAGTGGCCGATATATTATACGATAATATACATACTTATTTTTTAAATAAAAAAAAAAACTCTATGGACTAATTTTTATCTATAATGTCAAAAAAGAAAAAAAAGAAATAATACTATTTTCGTATTTATAGGGTATTTGCAAACTTGTTGCATCGATTGAAGGACATTCTTTTTTCAGTGATAACTATATTGTCACTACATATTTTAAAGTATAATGGCTTCCAACCATGAGCGTCCTTATGGAGAGGGGTGATGGGGGAGATCCCCCCCTGTGAGGTGGACTGACTTGCATAGTAGTTAATCAATTTAAACATTTTATATTAAATTACATGCATTTTTTTTTTTTATCAATGGTGTCTGGACATGTTGCTATCATAATACGTATTCGCGATCATAGAATGTAATATCAGTCTGATATAATAATTGATCTTATAATATATTGTGATTATATTAGCACGGTTTACAACAGGGTCTATTCTAAGAATTTTTGTCAACAACGCATTAAATTCTCTCTACCCCTCTATCAAAAGTCACATTTATAACTCTACTCTTAACTAAGTATACTAAATATAATTCTTTATATAAATAAACACTACGCTAGATATTAGGTGTACTCTCAAACTAATACTTCAAATATGAATACATTATACCAGTACAATAAATAGAAAGCCAACGATTTGTAAAATAATTATTGGTGGAATTACTGGAACTGAATCGAAACAAACCAAGGCTCGCATACCTATTATAATGTTATATTCATAACGCATATAAGTAGTGTATTATATACAATATACATAATACTAAACCAAACAAGTACAATTAAGGAACTACGTCTAAGTTCGGCGTAGGCAAGTACTGATAAGGTAATCGACTTCCGAAAAATAATCTTTAAAATAATACATATAATTGGTAAAATAATACAACATGTAATATTAAAAATTTGAAAATCACTTCACTAAAATACGCATAATTCCGACAAAATTATGATATCGGTGGTTTTTCAAAAATATAATTTTCAAATCATTTTACCCAGGCTCGTAGTCATGGGTTACAGGTGTAGTAACACCCCCCCCCCCTTAACCGTATTAAAATTATACTGAAGTCTAATAAAGGTAAAAATTGATTATAAAACATGATGAAAACATATTTATCATAACAAAATATATACATAACAAAAATGTTAAGCCGGGATCCGGCTTCTCATTACATCGTTTTGTCTAATAAACCAAAGCCGTGGTTTTATGTCGTATCATGCGCGATTTAAAATAGATACATATGAAAAAAATTTACATTTGAAATTTTAATATGATAAAATATTTAAATACTTTCTCATACAATAGTACATTACACATGAATAGACATTCATGTGTAATGTACTAATGTGTTTGTATTCTTGTACAATAAAGTATACGTAAAGTATTTATTTTGTTGTGTATAATTTTGAATAAAACTCCCCTTTTGTAATAGCTAGCTACATGACTGAGTTCACCAACCTTCTCACCCATTATATTATCATTATAACATTATCAACAACATAAAAATGTACTTTCAAAATCGTAAAAAATGTTCTCGCAATCAATGCTCAACAGCGCCTTAACCCTGGCTTACAATATTAAATCAGCTGATAGGGTTCTTGTTTACCCTTGAACAATTAATAGTAGTTAATTCAGACATAATTGCATGATTAAACGCTGTATTTAAAAAATTAATAAATATACTATAACTGCACTTAATAGTAAATGTAATAACAATGTTTTAAAATATTAAATAATATGATTTTGCTTTAATTTTAAGTATGCTTCTTCTTTATTTTGATTGCTTTATAGATTGAAAACTTGGACAAGAAGTGAAATGGGCCAAAGCAGACTAACGGGTTTGGCACTTTTACATATTCACAGGGAGATTGCATTAAATGTAGAAACTATAATAGACCGCTTTGCTTAGAATAAAAGATGTAGGGATTTTGTAATATAAACTAATAAAATAAATATATATGCTATGATGATTTGATTTTAATAATATAATATCCCCCCCTCCCCATAGCCAAGGTCTGGAGACGCCCCTGCTTCCAACCACTGTTATTTCGTAACACTTGGCACTAGAAATGTACTGACCACTATTGAAGACTTCGAGTAGTCTAACTGCGCATTGCATCAGTGACATAGGCGCCGACTACACGGGGGCAACGGGGGCAATTGCCTCTGTACTTTAATTTTAACGTGGGGGTTGCCCCCGTTCTTCGATTTTAATGGGTGGTAAAACGTAGAAACAGCACTTCGCTTTTGTGAAAAAAATTATTTGGTTATTACTTATTATTATAAGCTATTGAATTTCGATATCGATATGAAATTGTTTATCAAAAGGACAAATTATCTAAAAATAGCTGAACATAACTCATAAGATACCACAAATTATAGATAACGTATAAGTACATTTATATATATATATATATATGTATAATGTATATAGCTCCAATTAGAAATGCCTAATAGTCACGGTAATGACGAAAGACTTGTGTGATAACTATATATGTACTTTATACACACGCACAAACTGAAACTTAATAACAATATCTTTAGTTGGAATTATTTATAACCTATACTATGGTATTTTCATTTCTTCTAAATTATATTGACTATTCTACATTTATACAGTACTGATAACTGAATACTGAGTATTACATTATGTAGTTCAGTAGTTGATCATTTTACTGTCGCTATCCATACGAAGCATACGTGCTTTATTCGCAGATTGAAAACACTAAGGTAATTTATATTTTCTTTATAGACCATATTATTTAATATATGAGTTAAAAATTATTTAACTTTTGAAGGGCATACCAAATAAGTAATTCAGACACAAAATAATTCATTATGTCTATGTGGAAGTATATACAAAAAAAAACTATTCCGAAAAACAATTCTGATTCTAATAGCCTTATTAATTCTGATAATAGTTTATCTTCATCTACTTCCACTTCTAACATAAATTTAAATTGTGATAATCAAATTGACTGTGGAAATAATTCGTCCTCTAAAGATGTTTCAAAACAAAGAAAATTTTTAGCATCTTGGTTAAATAAATACGACTGGTTAGAACATAATAAAATCGATGATAAAGCTTTTTGCAAATTGTGTAGATCCATGAGTATTAATAGTAATAATAATGTTTCTGTATTTATTTCCGAGGGTTTTAATAACTGAAAAAAAGCTGTTGAAAGGTTTAATATGCACGAAAATTCAGAATTGCACAAAACTAATGTAGTTAAAAACTCTTTTATTAAAACAAATGCAAATATATATGCACAAATATCGGATAGTCATAAAAAGTCTATGGAAGAATCTAGATTAGCTCTTGATAAAATAATATCTTCAGTATTTTTTTTGGCAAAACAAGGCTTAGCATTAAGAAGGCATACAGACGAATCTGCAAATTTAAATCAGTTATTAAAACTTCGATCGGAAGATTCGACTGAATTAAATAACTGGTTAGGTAGAACAAAATATAAGTGGATTTCTCACGATATAATTAATGAAATTCTTAGCATGCTGTCATTAGAAGTCATTAGAAATATTATCAAACAAATTAAAGAAAACACATTTTATGCCATTTTATTAGACGAAACTAGTGATATTACTGTCAAAGAACAAATTTCGTTTTGTTTAAGAACAGTGGACAAAGAATCGTTGGAAATCGAAGAATATTTTATGGGTTTTTACGAAACGCCTAAAACAGATTCTGATACTCTTTTCAAAATTGTGAAAGATATTTTGTGTAGATTGGAATTAGATTTTTATAATATTAGAGGACAATGTTTTGATGGTGCTAGCAATGTTTCTGGAATTCATAAAGGATTACTAGCTAGAATAAAAGAAATTGAACCAAGAGCATTGTTTGTTCACTGTCAAGCTCATTCTTTAAATCTTGTTACCCAAGATAGTATGCGAAATGTAAAAAATGCTAGAGATGTACTAAATTTTATAAGAGAATTAATTACATTTATTAAACAATCACCTAAGAGACTATCTTGGTTTAAAACGAATTAAAAAGACAAAAATATGACATCTCTAAGACCATTTTGTCCTACTAGATGGACGTTACGATATACTTCTCTGTGCTCTGTTATGGATAACTACAATGAGCTATTGACATTTTTGTCAGATTTTTCAAAAACTGAACACAATGATGCAGGTTCAAAGGCAAATGGATTTTTCAAACAATTAAAAACTGCAGATACTTATATAATGCTTAAAATAGTGATAAGTATTTTTAAACACATGGAGACTACAAATACAGTATTGCAAAGTAAATCATTAGATTTTAAACTTTCTGTTCAAATTTTGAATACTTTAGAAGATACTATTTCTAATTTGAGAGATACATTTCACATTTTATGGAAATCTGCAAAGAAAGAATGGTCAGATTTAAAATTAGATGCACCAAAGGAATCTAGAAAACGAAAAAAACCTCAAAAATATGAAGACGGAGTAACAAAGTCCTTTGAATTTTCACCTGAAAGTAAATATAATCAAATATATAAAGAAATCATTGATCATATACTTTCTGGCTTACAACTAAGATTTAACTCTGAAATTCGATCATTTTTATGTAATGTGGAAATGTTTTTAATTGATCCAAAAATATCACCCGAAATAATATGTACATTTTACAAGGATGATATAAATATTGATAAGCTAAAACTTCATAGAGATATGTTTCATGATATAATTAAAGGCCAAGGATTAATTGTTTCATCATTCGCAGATATATTAAATATTTTTAAAAATAAATCGTATTTAGTAATTCATTTAACAGAGCTCAGGAAATGCATACAATTGATATTAACAGTACCAGTTACTACATGTACTACCGAACGATATTTTTCTATGTTGAGGAGGTTAAAAACTTATACCAGAAGTACCATGACGCAGACCAGGTTAAATGATCTGGTACTTCTAAATTGCCATAACACAGTAGCAGAATCTTTAGACCTAAGCAAAATAGGAAATATGTTCATAAATAAGTGCATGACAAGAAGAAATACTTTTAAATTGAAAAAAATATAATTTTAGATTGTAAAATTGTCATCATAAAATGTAATGTATTGTAATTAAGTTAGAAAATAAATTGTATTTTCATAATTTCATGTAATTTTTATTTTTATTTTCATTTATCTGAACCCAATAAAGAGAATTGGAATAATATTCATGAACAATAGTATAAATATTTTATTTGCCCCCGTGCTAAAATATAAAAGTCGGCGCCTATGATCAGTGATACGTTTATTATTTTTGATACATTTTCCACGGTTACCATAAATCGTAGAACTCATGTCAACTTGTGTAGCACCAGCACTGATATTTAGCGTCTGATGTGCTTACATACGAATATAGGTAGACATATTGTGACGTATACATTTTGTGGCATCATCCTATTACAGTTATCGCATATAGTTACATCATTAATTATTCATGCAGTGGTAAATTTAACAGCCGTTTAGTCAGCAAATATCCTCAGGGCCCTCTATGTATACGTTTTGTTCCGTAGACCTGTTTGCATTACAGTAATAATAATTGTGAGGTCGAATAAACGTGAAAGTGAAATACTATAATACTCGTATAAAGAAAAGTTGTATTAATTCATTAATTAATGTATATTGTGTTCTAGTGTTATGTATTACTAGTTCATACAACAAAAAATTGGCGAAATGTTCACACCTTTCATTTTGTTTTATGGCTCAAATGTTAATTATTTTTCATCACATCATACATCAATTATGTTGGATGACATATAATACAGTTATTATTCAACTCTGCCAAGTGATTATTGTACGTACCCTATTTATTTTTGAACAGCATGGTACGGAAATATTCATTAAGCCAAAGTCTTCAACCACATGGGATTATTTGAATTATCAAAACAACGGGTTCCTGTGCATATCATTGGTTTTCTATATACCAACGCGAAAGCTTGACAATAATTTAACAAGCGAAAAAGTGATTGCATCATGTGAGTACGGATGTAAAAGTAAGAAAAGTTATTAGCTTCATTAGTACAATGAAATACATCACGCATATTGATATCACAAAAAAATTATCTAAGCTATCAAACCTTTTTAGGTGCTATACTCAATTTGGTTACCGTTGTTTTTATTCAAGCGTTTATGCCACTAAATATATACATATACGAAAATGGATAAGACACAGTTTGTATTACTCCTTTGTGTTTTTATAAACTTGAAAGTCATGATCAATATCATCGCATTCGAAGGCCGAAAAAATATATTTATAGGTAATTAATATAATATTAATAATAAAAAATAATATTAATAAAAATAAATAAATATATAAAATTAAAATAAATGTAAAGCTGTTAATTTCTCGTAAAAAAGTTGTAGCACTTTTTACTGCTAGAATCTATACATGAGCATAAATTAATGTATTTACATATATTTTTTTTATCATCCAATTATTTTTTTGTTAAGTAATATAGTAACTCGTAACTATTTTGCACGGATACATTATTAAATAATGACTTATTAAAGTGGATGTAATTAATTTATGTTTTTAAAGAAAAATCGTTTTTCACAGTTTTAAATATTTTTAATTATATTTTATGCTATGCAGTCAGATGCAACTAAATAAATAGGTAATTCAAGATAAAACTTGCAGATAATGTATAATTATAACTAATTTGAAACATCTATTAAAAAATAAAATGTAGTCAACAAAATAAACATTATATACAATATTTATACACTCACAGTATCAAATAGGTACCGTTATGTGGAAGTCTTGTAAATCTTACGGACAGGAAATGGCCGACCTAAATGTTCGTGGTATCCCGGTGGACCAGTAAGCAATATACAATGGTTCACTATACATAGAACTTCTCAGAACAATGTTTTTAATACGATGGGATGGTATTGGGATATCATTGATTTCAAATTTGAAGATACCCATAGATTGTCCTAGAACTCAGTGGTCGTTCTAATTGCCTACAGCCAACACTCAACTCATAAATCAGTACTTGGATTTTTAATCACAGCCCGACTTTATATATTTAGATACATTTGTTACATTAATTAAATTTATATCATCGACATTAAACATACTTATGTACAGAGTAGGGCGTTATTCGAATAAAATTTTATTTAGATGATAATTTAGATAACGTTTTATTCGAATAATTTTCACACATAATTCGAATAATTTTTGTTCGTTTTGTTTGAGTAAACATTCGATTCGTAATTTAAAACAGACACATATTATAATTTATAAACAATAATTGGCATTGTATTTTAATTTACATGATATAAATCTTATTTTATTCAGAAAATGTTAACATTTTATTATAAAATAAGTATAGATCAATAGAAAAAAATGAAGAGTTTGATATATTTTTTAAATAATAATTTTGTATCGGATAAAATATTATTCGAGTAATTTTTTATTCAACTAATTATATTTTAAAATTTTGCCCAACTCTGCTTATGTATTTGATTGTTTAAAAACAATTAATGTTGTCAAATTTGTATGTATAAAATATGAATATCTATTTTAATTATTTGTGTTATCACAGACCATAGATACTAATTTGTTAAACGATAATCAATTGAGTCTTCATTACGTGTGTTGTATCGATAAACTTTACAAGTAGAGAATTGAAAGCAATGCTAATGTCATCAAACTTTCCAGATATTACACATTTTTACATACACGAATCATAAAAAAAAACCCATTATTTTTTTTATTTATGACAATAAACAAGGTATATATATATTACGGAAAAGGTAGAAAATCGGGTGTTTTATACAAATGACATGACATTTTAACGCGCAAAGCCATTAGGTCGTTTTGTATTTGCATTTCTTGTTTTTACATTTGTATAACCATAAACATCCGTCAACGCTCTGGCCACACAAATTTAAAAATCTTCATGCCACTGATATTAACGTTATTGTTACCTAATTGTGACACACCTTCAAATATAAATTAGTTACAAACTATCATAACTTAGAATTGTAAGTTTAAAACTTATTTAACGTAGTCTGATTAAATAATTAAAAAAAAAAAAAAAACGATAAACTCCTTTGTATTATTTGAAAATTTCAAGAAGAAGTGAAGACAAAAATAATAAAATATATGAAGTATTAACATTTTTATTTTTTCTGATAGTCTATTATAATAATTAGAGATCGGTACCTTTATCTTGCTTTAGTTGAATTCATACAGATACACGTGAACTAGTCATCAAAAAAAGTATTCCTATTCAGTGGAACCTCGATAATTCTAAAAAGTATAAATAAGTAATAATTTAAGAAATAAGTCGAAATAAACTCTGGTACTTTTAAAAACTCGATTATTTGTAAGAAAAATTACTGAAAACTCGAACTAGTGATAATGACGAATAATAATACTTCCATGCATTAGAAAATTTTCCACCCAACAATAATATACCAAAGTTTCACGATATTAAAGTAAAATTTCTGTCACCAAATCCCAATTTGAAATCACAATTTTCGGACCAAGGAATTATAAAAACGTTCAAGACGCTTCACAGAAAGGAAATAGTGAGAAAAATTGTAAGTCGATAGTTATATGTGGATGACGAAAAATCTACTTCAATGAATATTCTTCAAACTATGTGAATAGTTGATAAAGCATGGAGAAACATAGCAATGACAACAAATGCTTTAGATCGTGCGTATTTTTACTTGAAGCTGAGGGAAATGATACATTGAAATTTACTATCGAAAATACAGTTACGGATAGAGAATGGGCTCGGATAAAAAATGGAGAAACGTTTGTAAATCATGTTGGAATCGACGAAGTCGTTGTAGTTGTTGTTTCTGGTATTCTGACAGACGTCCGTGGCATTGCTGATATTGATGACGTCGACGAAGCTAATACATCGACGAAGCTATGCCTGTGCTAGTAATGCTAGTACCTCATATGTCAGTAGAACAAGCAAAAGTTGTAACAATGTTACGAACATTCACTGAACTATCTAGTAATGTCGACGATTGAGTGTACTCGTATTATGTACTAAATGTGGTAGAAAATACTATTGATAATAGCAACAGATTAGAACTAATTTCAAAGTAAGATGTCAAATTATTTTTTGTATAATTGTATTACTAAATCGATTTATATTATATTTTTTAATTTTTAAAAACAAAATGTATGATAATATTCTCATTACAATAATAATGATATGCATTGTAATTTATATATAATTACTAGCTGACCCGACAAACGTTGTTTTGTCATATAAATTATTTCTAGAGAACATTTTGTTAGAAAAAAATAACTAATTTAATATAGGTGTGTAAGGATAAGGTATATAAGTGGAAGAGGTATGGAGTGCTGTGAACGGTGACGAAATATAAAAATGAAAAAACATCAAACATTTATTTTTTTAATAATTTATTAAAATTGATCTTTTAAAATTATATATATCGCTAATTATGACAATATTAGTAAAAAACAATATCAATCCCTTAATGCAGCAAAGTGTGCAATATTTGTTGTTATCCCATCCTTCGCCAACACAAACAAACTGGATGGTTCGAGAGCATGCCACGTATAATTATCCGTGTGAAAAACATGATGTGCTCAAATCTAAGCCACAGACAGCCATCGTTTGGGCTTGAGACTTATTGAGAGTCGTTGCAAATGCCAATCTAATTGGAAATTGAAGGCGTTTGAATTGTATTGGCAAATCTGTGGGTATAATAGGGATTCACGGTAATAATATATTTTCACCTCGGAATTTGCCATTTAAAATTATGGCTTCGATAAAATTTTTCATTAATTTTTTAATGACTAATCGCGTGCCGTTGCACAACCATGGTGGGTTCAAATTACGAAGCAAAATAACCGGAGATCCAACCTTCAGTTGTAAATTATGCGGTGGCTTGTCTGGTAAATCTAATAAGTTTAAAAACTCTGTTGGATAATTTACAGCTTCAGTAGCATCGCAAACTGTATCAATAAATTTGTATGACACCATATCTCCTGGTAACAAATGTTGTATCTTGAGATTCAATTCGTTGACGTACACATTTTTTGCTGCTAAAATTGATCTTTCTGCCAGTCATTCATGATTTGTGTATTGTCTGTGTACATTGGGAATTATTTGGCCAATGAGAGCATTTTGCGAATCAATGATTGTGCAGAAATCGGTCGATAATTGTATGCATCCCGTTTCATCTGAAATAACTTTCCCATCACCGATATCTAATAATTGTTTTGAGAATCTTTCGCACGCAGCTTTTTTTGATTGAATCGCAAGCATCGAAATCGTTCACTCTCTATTTTTACATAAATATGGACCATGAATTGTTGACAAAGCTCACGAAATCATAGAATAACGTTGTCCTGATGGCGTCTTATCATTAACCGATATGCATAAACAATTGAAAAAAATTTGAGCCAAATTGGCCCAGCCGTTCTCAATTTATGAAATGTTATATATTTTTGGGTGTATTTACAAGTATCGATATCGATTCAAAAGCTTTTAAATAACATGATTAACAGAACTATTTTATCAGTTGTTTGCTCTTTTTATTGTATTAGAGAAACTAATTAAGTGTTATAAATGTTTTAATGCCTAGTAATCTGAATAATTTCCATAATTTAATGTATAATTAATTAATTATTGTTAAATATTACTCTTTGCTCTCGATGATTTGGAAATTTTGCATTTTGCATTTGTATTTACATTTGGGAAGTATTAATGTACATCCCATATATACTGAATTTCATGCATTATGTATAATGTTTTATTGTGAATAAAAAATTGAATAAAAATGTTATATCACCTTAGATAATTACACGGTTATAATAACACGTTACTATGTATGAAATGTCATGAGAATTGCTTGGGACTAATAGTTTCTCTATTTCAAATTTAAAATGAAAAAATTAACCATAACGGATACATTATTTATCAACAATTAAATTAAAACAACGAATTTGTATAAATTATTATCGTAAAAAAAATTCTGCCGTTACTCAAATTACTTAAAATTAAAATTAATTGTTTATTATGGTGCATGTATTTCCGTTTTAAAATTGCTACAAACAATTTGTAAGACCCAAATACATAATCTGTATAGCTACAAACTTTGCAGAGGTAAAATCAACAATGCATGTGTTAAATCAAATTGATCCGCATAGATTGCTTGAATCAATTTGATATTAATATTACCATAGTATTGATAATAATGCAAAAAATCAAAGTGATAACGCACAACAATGAAGTAATTGAAAAAGATCCGGTTTAGCATGAGTACTGAAAAATTATCAAATGAGACGTGCTCCAATTTTTATTTCATAAAAACACATGATATTATCTTGAACGTCATTTTTACATATGTTTGCCGTGTGTTATTATCCGTTGCAGTATTATAATTTAATTAAAGCCGATTAAATTCGGTAATCATTGTTAACATTTATTATATTCAAAATTCACGTCGTCGAGTAGATAAAACTTTGATATTAAGGTTTTAAGATCGATTTTTGTATAAAATATGTATACAATAATCATTGTCATGTTTGACGACACGATCATATATATATATGTATACATTTGAAGGCATTTATTATTTTTAGTATACTCATTCGAATAGCTGTTTAAAATTTATTCGGAATAAGCATTCAAATAATTTCTAATAAATATATTTGAAATATTTATTTAAATAAGTAAAATCTATTCCATAAAGAAGAATTCAAAATTTGATAAATTGTTTAAGCCTTAACCTTGGAAGATGTTGGATACAGTTAATAGTTCTATACACATAGAACGTTTGAAAATTTTTTTGGAAAATATCCTTTAAATAGGGAGAACGTGTACTTTGAATTAAAACAATAATTATAAAAATCTTCACATGTACTACTTACTGGCTGCATCCAAATTGGGTATTGAATTTAAAATTACTACACTAGTTGGGTCCCGAATTATTTTAGGTACTACACTAGTTGGGTTCCGAATTATTTTAGGTACTACACTAGTTGGGTCCCGGATTTTTATAGGTAACACACTAGTTGGGACCCAGATTCTTATAAATACTAAATTCCTAAGTTCCTGAATATTTTTTGGCAAGTATTATATTATACTAAT